GCAAAATGAGTGTCCAGTTTTAATTATTTCATAGCTCGTGTATGTTCTGAGCTGGCTTTTACTAAGTACAGGAAGTAAAGTTTGTTCAGATAGTATCATTCACAGAAAAAATAACTCAGGAAGTACTTCACAAAAAATATCAGAATTGAAAGATCCAGATTTTAGATACGATGTAGGAAGTTTATTCCAATGTTAGGATGCAACAGTCTGGGTAAGAGCGATCACCGTGACTTTGGTCTTTGGAGCACCTAGAAGACTCGGGTTTGTAGACCTGGAGGCTCGGGTTGGAGCATAAGATTATTCAGTAATATAGGGAGGGGCTGATGTGTTAATAATCCGTCCAACAGGAGGGGGCCCAAATGGAGCCTTCACCCACTGCAGGCAGTCCTTTAGTGATGCCTCAGTAGGATTAACAAAACCTTTCCCCCTTCTCACATGTGGCTATACTGACGTACATCAGGGAGATAAGAGCGCGCGCACACACACACACACACACACACTCCCTCGTTGCAGCTTCAGCTCTGTGAAGCCATAATAACAACATCAAAACGTGCACGTATCAGTAAAACGAGAACACTCTATCCTTTAAGATATGCTGAGGTCAAGATGGAGAATGTCACTGGGTGCCCACATCAAAAGGGTTGAGGGGTATTTAAACTCAGTCTGAAGGTGGGGGCTTGAAACCAGTGGTCTTATTATTCACCACCAGTAATTAGGAGTCCCAGTACTCCCTACAGCCTAATTTATGCTTCTCAGAGTTCGAGGGCAACATGTCTCCGTCAGTGCGTGTGTGTCTCTCCCTCGCAGAGCTGACGGAGAAGTATAAACCAGTATAAACTAAGGGGTCCCAACTCTGTTACCTAGAGGCTTGTTTGTAGGTTGTAATTTTAAATAATATAAGCTGGAGCTGTAAGAAAATACAGGCCGTTTAATTTCTATCTAGCAGACACTTCTCAACGGTGCTGTAGCTCATCTTCAAGAGAAATAGCAATAATCACAAACCTTAAGCCTGCTTTCTGCTTCTCCGTCAGCCCCGCAGGGGAGAGATGCACACGCACTGACGGCGACGTTTTGCTCTCTGACTTGTCCGTCACTGGGCGTAGTGCTTTTCTGTGGTATCATGCCACCATTACACTCATGTATACGGTCCACGATAGTGTATTTACTAATGTCTTTTTGTATTTCAGAGACTTTATAACATGGACATATTTGTCTTTCATTCTCCTCCACCGTCATGCAGTCGCTACCTCTACCCCCTCATTCCTCATCATTTCCATTGATGAATAAAATGTTTGTTCCATATTTTGTACTCCTTCAGTCATGGGTAGGGATGGCTACCTTTGACATTTGAATGGATTCGGTACTAATTCCCGGTACCTAGGAATCGATACCGGTACTTAACAGTACCAATTTTAGATACTTTTGAGTGTTTAATATTTTAATTCTCTTTTATAATTAGATATATATTTTTCTCAATATATAACCATATTTGATAAATATCACGATAAATAACATACAACTGTTTGTATTTTAACATCGTCCTTGTAGTTTTATAAGCTGATAATTAAACTGAAGCAAACATCTTTACTGTGAACTAAATTTACTGTGTATCTTCATTCCTTTTGCCGTCCTTTTTCTTTGATTTTTCCTACTGGGAAGTTAGAATTTTCGAGGAGAAAGCGAACGCACCATTAGCTGATAACAATGGTGGCAATGGAAGCTAACATATCAAGCTAACGTTATCTTAAACAATTTATTTAGCTGCTGGAGCAGATTAAAACGATGATGCCTCACACTTAGATCGTTGTCGCTGGTTTCATCTTCACCCAGTCACCCGTCGCATTTAGTAAAGTGAAGCCAAACTTTAGAGAGCGTTCATGTTCTTCTAGTCGGAAATTCGGAGTTCCGAGGAGAAAGCGAACACACCATTAGCGGAACGGAAGCTAACAATTCAAGCTAACGTTATCTTAAACATTTTATTTACCTACCGGAGCAGATTAAGATGAGGATGTCTCACTTAGATCGTTGTCGCTGGTTTCATCATCACCCAGTTACCCATCACATTTAGTGAAGTGGACCCAAGCTTTAGCTTTCGTTCTTTCTACCATGCTGCTCTGTTTACAACTGGCTCGCAGCGACCGACGACATAACGCTCTTGCGCATGCGCAGCTGTCTAGGCAAGTTCTCGTTATGAAGGACGGGTACCGAAACGAGGCACCGTTTCAAATGACGTGAATCGGTGCTCAGTCGGTACTATGGAATTCGGTCTGTACCTTAAAAAGTACCGAATTCGGTACCCATCGCTAGTTGGCACATCATTGGATGTCCCCGTAGGATTGATTAACTTTTGGAATCGGAGACAGAGACTAGATTTACCCAGGAGAAGTTGGTTCTGAATGTGAACCAGGTAAACCATCACCTAGAACCAGATAATAGCGAACTAAACCAAAGATACACCAAACTGAAGGAACTAAACCCAACATGCCACAAAGCCACGATCGTGACCCTGAGCTTGAACTGGTCACAGTAGATTCTGTTTAAAGGTTTGCCATTACCGATCCTCTGTCTTCTAGCAAATATATTTTCATGATGTAATATTTATATGTACATCTGCACCTGACTTAATGTGGAGTCATCCTGATGCAAGATGGCCGACACAGCCCAATGACCCTATCACAACTGTAACTCGGTCAAATACTCCAGTGATGGAGCTGGGATTTAGGTTTTAGACATTAGGTGAGATTGTGATTTACATGTTTTGACCAAAATGACTTTAAATCCGTTATTTCATTGTTAGATGATCCTGATTCAAAAGGTTGGAATGGAAGCTGGTTGGGAACTTTCCTTGAAGGAGTTGCAGGTCTTTATAGCTCTACTGTTGCCATAAATGTGGAATCTTGAGTTTCCTTCTAAAGGTCTGCTGTTGAATTCAAACATGTTACAACTCTAATTACAATAGTTTAGTCAAATGTCGAGCGTATCGGTGTCGTTCTGCAGCCCGAGCTTCAGTCGGACGGGGAGGAAACAGGTTGAGAGGAGAAAACAGAGAGGAGCAGTGTGAGGCTGGAGAGAAGCTGGAGGTGTTCTGGAGGGAACCAGGTCCTGGTCGTCAGAGCAGCTGATGGCTCTCACAGACGCTGGTTTGTGGTCTCGGAGGGGAGAGATAGAGGGAAAAGAGAGCGAGCGGGTCCGTCTGCACACTGAAGTTCTTTTGTACTCTGCAGGTTTCAGCGTGTGGTTAAAGCATTAGCGTGCTCGTATGGAGGGAAAAAAATGACTTCCAGTGAAAGGAGGCTGGAAAAGTACCTGTCCAGAAGCAGGTTTGTCAGACTGAATGTACGTCACGCCACCTCTGACTGGTGTCAGCCCATTTAGCTCTGTGTTTATGATCAGCTGAAGACGAGCTTTATTATTTTTACACACCTCGAGGAAGAGCAGGTCCAGGTTTTCCCTCAGAAGAAGGAAAAAGCAGCAGATGGAAATCCTGTCATTCTGAAATGAGTCAAGTTATAATCCAGGCTCTTGATGCCACTGCAGATAAGAATCAGAACCATTTTCATGGTCCCCTAGTGCAGATGTACTCCCTCATGGCCCCGGCGGACCCTCCGGTGCCTGAGCCGCTGCTTGGGGGTTATGGTTGTGGGGTAGGGGTAGTGTCTGCTTTCACTTCTTGTTGTTCAGAGGATTTACGGCCATGCTGTTCTGATAACTGTCGGCAGTGGGAGGTTTCCTCAGCTCTGCAGCATGTCGGAGGTTCTGTTGCAAGTCTTTGTCAGGCACTCGGTGGTTAAAACTCTGAACGCCCTCGCCGGGCCCTGGACTGCTTTGATCTGCTATATTGACGTAAATTGGCGAGCGGCACGCTGGCTGTCTTGGTTGCTGCAGCATATGGGGCAAATTTCTTCCATGTGTGAAGCTCTATGAAGTAGAGATCAGTCTTTTCCACAGAAAGAGGAGGAAGTGGGGAGATCCAGACGCTCGGCCCTCCCTCCCTGCAGGCGTAAATGTGTTGAATCACCGCTCTCGGTTTGTTGGAGTGCGTCGAGATTTAATTTGTTTCCTCCTGTTTTTTTTTCCATTCTTCTTCACCATAAACTCTTTAGTCCCGTGTGACTCGTGACCCAAAATGCCAGAGTGACTTTTACATTTTTCCTCAGTATTCACTCCAGCGTTTATTAATTCTGCTCCGTGTTTTGTGTGAGTTCAAGGGCAAAAAGGAAGTTGCTTTGGTTTCTTTGGCAGAGGAGCGAGGCCCTGGCCGAGGCTTCTCCCACTTCAGGGAGTCAAAATTTGTCTCTCGTGTTGCTTCTGCAAACAAGCCTTTGATATAAACTGTTCCTTCCTTCCAGAGGAGTAAAGAAGAGACGGTTTGTGGGGCACGGCGGCGCGAGCTGCTGCTGCTGCTGCTGCTGTGCAGCCTCATAAACTTTACATGTTTCAACGAGGAAGTTGTCGTGAGAGGAAGAAGCCGGGTTATTAGTTTCTGCGCCCTCACACGTCTCACCCACAGCTCCGGTCCCTGAAAGCTTCGTGTGTCTGAACGAGAAACGGTTCTTCAGGATGTGTGGATGTTTGCCATAGCAGATCGTTCATATGTTTAACTGGGTTTATGTGTAGAAATGGGTCTGGGGGGGGGGGGGGGGGGGGTCACATCTACAGCAGGAGGCTGCACTAGTTAATGAGAGGGTCTGAGGGTGAGTGGGGGGGGGGGGCAGACATGGTGGGACGGGGTGCAGAGGGGGGACTCAGGGAGGGAGGCTGTGGAGCGCGGCAAGCGGCGTCTCTGACCAAACAGCTTCTCTGAACTTTGCGAGAGATGAAGGAGCTCTTTGTGCACTCCTCCCCCTCGTCCTCGGCGTCTTCAGCATGTCCAGCCTGCCCGACCCCCGCTGCATTGAGCCACTCCGGGACCGTCGGGCCACCACGAATGGTGTCTGGGGACTCGAGTGTGGACATGGACCCTCTTGGTCCTGACTACGTGTCCATGTGTCTGTTGGCAGATGAGTCCTACCAGAAGCTGGCTATGGAGACAATGGAAGAGCTGGACTGGTGTCTGGACCAGCTGGAGACCATTCAGACCTACCGCTCTGTCAGCGAGATGGCTTCAAACAAGGTAAGAGTTTTTTTATACAGTTGGGGCTTAAACATCGATGTGTGTCAAAGTTTTATAGATTTTACCTTTCAAAAAAACTGGCTGACAGGAAACTTGAGTTTTGAATTAAAAGAATATTTTTTAACTGTCAGAAAATCAAAATGTGAAACCTCTTTGTCTCATTCTGCTGAAGTAACTGATCAGGGATCCAGTCGGTGTTTTTACAGGTTAAATCTAAACATCTAGCATCACCGTTATCCCTGTGGACAAACAGCATGACTCTGGGACGGACACCATGGTGACTGGCTGGACGCTTTAGGATTTAATGAGTCCTCTGTCTGTGCTCTGCGTTGTGCGTTTGGGGAGTGCATGCAAAGTGTTTACCACACTGACGCAGATGCAAATCAGTAAAGGATCCCATATTTGAATAAGACGACTGAGGATTAGACCTGCTGTTATCTTTCAACGCCATGAGTCCTGATTTCCATAAAACTGATTCTTTGGTAGCTGTGTTTTACAGCCAAGCTGCAGGATGCTAACCCCACATGCTCCAGACAGATTTCCAGGGAAACTCCTTTTGCAGCTCAGTTTCAGTTTGTGTTTTTGTCTGAGAAAGATAGAAGTGACTGGCATTCCTGCAGGAAGAGCATCGACATATACATATATGGACAATGGGTTTCCATAGGCTCCAATAACACATTTTTGAAGAAAAATGGGAGGTGGCCACCACCGCCATTTTGACCGTGTCACAGGTTTTGTCAAGCCCAGACAATTCCACAAAAGGGAAGAGAGGTGGAGCTGAGGGTGGGGCTGTAAGGCTGGGATCAACTGACGACACCCGGTCGAACTAGCTACAAGCTAACCTGAAGCTAACCCAAAGCTAACGCGGAGGTGGGAGCTAAGCTAACGGAGGTAGCAACCTAGCTACAACCAGAGTTAACTGTGCACAACACCAGACCTTCTGAGTCAGAGATATGCCGGGCTGACCGCTGGGTAAAACCGGGTGGAACACAGAGGTCTCCGAGAGCTCCACAAACCGGCAGCCCGCACAGCAGACAGAAGTCGCGATCAGAAGGAGATGCACCGAGCTGTGGGAGGGGAGAATCGGGTGGAAAACATCGGTCTCCAGAGATCTCCACAAGCCGATAGTGGGAATCCAGCTCCACCAACATGTTATATTTCAACCCATTTTCTAAAGTGCAGCATTATGTTAAATGCACTGGGTTTTACCCTATTACATTTAAATTTCATGGTTAAACAGTACATGTTAAAATCTAAGCTCAGCTCGGCAGTGACCTAAAATACATAAATATAATTTTACTTACCGAAAATAATGAAGTGGAGACTCCTTGGACGCTCTATTAGTGCAATTAATGCCACAGCAAGTCATTTTGTCCAACAATTGCACAAAAAATATCCAAAAAAGAAAACACACACACAGAGACTCAAAATCCCGGAACAGTTTCCAGGCCAGACCGAGGCTCTACTGAGGCCTTTCCACGGAGCTAGCTCTGTGGTCACGTGGGTCTGATGCTCATTAATTATACAGAATTTTAGGCTTTCAATACACTTAAACAGAAGAGTGAGAAAAAAATTCACCCCCCTCAGAGTTGTCATGAGTGTAAACTAGATCATTTAAACCAGAAACATGTTTTGGTACCAGGCTGTAAACATGTTTATTTCTGCTGTGAAATTGGTGTTTTTAACATGGGAGTCAATGAGGATTTGCTCGCTTCTGACACCAGCCCCTAGTGGATGAGGGTGGAACTGCAATTTATATCACTTCCGCGTTTGCTTCAGTTTTTGAGCCGCATTGTGGGGGCTTGGCTGGAACCCGTCTGATTTAACTGAATTTAAATGAACAAACTGAGACTCTTGCAGACTAAACAAAGAAGCTACTTAGAGCTAACTGCTTCCTCTGCTTTGATGCACACGAGTGATTTTGTGTGAATTTAATTTGTACAAAGACACAAATGCAGCTAGACATTAGTCAGCGTCCCGACAGACGGTGCAGACGTGGTGGCGTTGGACTATAAACACTCACCGCCGTGGTCAGAGGAAGGATTAGGATGAACAGGGATGTGTCAGACCGTGATGACCGTGATAGCGGTTTCCTGAGTCGCCGGGTTTCCTCTGACCCCCTCTGCTCTGCTCCCTGGTTACCGGAGGACAATAACAGCACCAGACTCTAGAAGACATGATGGTAAAACAAAGAGCAGAAGGCCTGGGGGCCTGCAGCAGCCACAGAGCCTTTGTTGACCAACCCTGATGGGGAAGCAGAGCAGTGGCGTGTCCAGATCTTGTAAAATGGGGTGGCCCAGGTGAGGCACAACTTTGTGCATGGGTGGCACCAATGGTTATGCTTTTTTTGTTTTACCCCCAAGCCTTTTATGGACAACAAAAATCCTATTTAAAGGTAAATAAGTGTGTTGGCACCTGGGGTGGCCAATCAGATTCCAAGGGTGGCATGTGCTACCCCAGGCCACTCCCTGGACACGCCCCTGAAGCAGAGGTCACCAGTTTATCGTGGTTGTTGCAGCATTGTGAACGGATTAGGAGAAGCACATCGGTAAATCGCCACACTCTGGTTTCTACATTTTCATTCGTTTTTGTGTTTTGCACCACTAATGCAGCACGGCTGGTTCTTCTCCGGTCCAGAGGATCAGCTTCGGACCCATTACAGGAAGCAGACTGTCGGTGTCTGCCCTGTCCAAGGGCGCAGGTGTATTCGGGGCTGCGGGACCACACACCCTGCGAACCGCCTGCCTGGTCACGGTGACCTAAGAGCGGGGAGCCGCCTCACGGCCCCTCACTATCATTAGCCTGGCCACACTTCCAGGCTGCTGCTGGTGACGACCTTGGACAAACACGGCCATCTGAAGCCTGTTAGAAGAGTTTAGGGCTCTGTGGGTTCGCGTGCGAGCTCTTAGGAAACTTTAACTCATGTGTGGTCACTTAAACCTTGAAGCGCTGCCATCCTTAGAAAGGAAAGACTGACAAAATCATGGAAGCAGATGTAGTGGTGGGTCTGTAGCTGTAACAGGCGTCATGGACATGAAATTATAGTTGTGTTCAGGTTAGGAGAGCAGAGCAGCTGGTGGGGAGGAGAAAGTCTTACCTCTATACTCGTCTTTATGGAAAATAAACCCCGCCGAACGCTATAAACAAACAACATGTTTATTACTGTAGCTCTTCTGGATAGTGCTGATCAGCATCTTCTAGGAAATGTGTCTTTTTGCTGTTGCTAAACTGTGAAAACTTGCCGGCCAGCGGTGGCGGAGTGTTGACGCTGTAAACAGCCTCGTGCGGGACGCGGTTGGCTCACTCGGGGCTTTGTTCGATTGCACAGCTGTGCTTTAGCAATATGTCAACTGTGCAAGCCCGGTTCTGTCAGAACATTATATCATTTGAACTTGACTTTACTCCTCCCCGAAGAACAAACTTGCTTCACCTGTGAGTTTCCAGCACATCGCGGCTCTCTGCTGAACTGGTTTTTGGGATTTTTTTTCTTGCTGGCATGTCAGTGGGCTGCACCCCAGGGTGCTGCCAGGAAGTAGGATGTAAATGACTTCGGTGGATGACTCTTTGAAGTAAAGAGGAAGAAGGAGGCGGCGCATGCTGGGGCCTGTGTCAGTGGGAGGAGTCCTGGGTCGGCCTCACACGCCAGTCGCTCTTATGGCTTCGTGTTTCCTGCCTGTCGCCACATCAGGAAGAGAATAGAAGGAGGAAGCAGACAGGAGCTCTAGCAGCCTGGTCTGTTTGAACTTTTGGACCTTTACAGGATTTCTTTTGTGCTTCGTTTGTTGTTTTTTTTTAAAGTGACAATGGGACTATGTTGCTCCGAAAAGCAGAAAAACTTTGAGATGCTGACGAACTGGAGAAGGGTGAGTTGTGCAGAGTTGAACTTTAGTGAAACTGCTTCTGGTTCGTCCTTTATTAGGACCTAATGAGGATTTAGGTCAGGCAGAAAACAACGTCTCTGTTTTCTCCGCATTTATTGTTTTTTACCTTTTTGCTGTTTTTTGTTTTCATCTTTTAATCTAGATCAGATAAGAAGTCAGACCTCTGCTTTGCTTTGGTTAAGCACCCATCCTAGATGAACAGGGTTATGCGTGCAGCAGTTAGACATCTGAACTACACGACCCCCCCACCCCACCCCCCCACCAGCTCCACTTTATTCAACTTTTTTCCCTCTGAGCGAAGCTGACTCATTCATAGCACCGCTTTCCTACTAACTCATTGGTCGATCTGAGCAGCCTCTGGCGCTCTCCAGCTTGTTGAAGGTGTTAGTCAGGTTGTGAGGCAGATGCTGGTAGTTTGGGTGATGGCTGTCAGACAGCTGGGGGGGGGGGTTGACCAGACTGTCTGCTTTAGACCAAAACTACTTTCCTGGAATTGATTCATTCATTTTAACAGGAAGTATGAATGCATGCATCAGTGTTTTTAATGGTGTTCAGGATTTTTGCTTCTGAACAAATCAGCGCCGGAGGAGGGCTCGGACGCTTCCGCCTGTCTGCAGCTTTTAGGCTGTCTCTGGATTTTGTGATGTGATGCTGCGTATTTAAAATGAGGACCACCTTGGGAATGATGGAGCGCCCATGTGACTCTGTTGCCATGGCGTTCAGGCAGCCATGTGGATGGTGGCACGGCTCGACTCCCGTTAGCAACCTGTTTGTCTCTTAAAGACGAACGGTTCCTGTAAATGTGGATGATCAGTGGACAAAGTGGATATTTGGGTATTTCAGTTCCAGACCCTTCCTCCTCCCGTGCATCCTCCGTGATGATGGGCACGCTGGCGCTCTGAAGACTCACGTTGCGCAGTGTGCATCGCATCTGTTCTGCATTACTGAGCAGGGGGAGTATGGGGGTGGGAGGGGGGGGGATCTCTGTTCTGCAGTGCTGTGCATGGCTCAGTGAGGGTGGGAGGCAGAGACAGCTAGAGACTCCAGTTCTCTACTCACCACAAGGGACTTTAAAGCCCCCCCTCCCTTCCCTCTTTCCCTTCCCTCCCTCCGTCGTGCGGGCTGCCTCTTCCCACTGCCTTGTTCCACCTGGGCTTGGAGGAGCACGATTCCCACCCACCCCTGGATAACATTAGGATTGTGTCAGACGCGCGTTAGCCAGCTGGAACGACCGAAAAGGGAGCGGGAACATTGATCGGATCTTGGGGGGGATTCCATCACCCACGTCGTGAAAACAATGGAAGCTGGGAGGAGGCGCGCCTGGCTGGGGATGTAGGGGCTCTTTGCAGCTGGGGCGTTTTCAGTCTGGGGTCTGAGGGCCCCCTGAGCCTCGGGCTGTGGAGCTGAGCTCAGCCTTGGGATCCACTCAGAGAGGAGCATTCACTGCTTCTGCTGGGGAGCACCAGGGGCTCTGAACCGCTTAGCACCATGCCTGAGGCCAACTACCTGTTCTCCGTGTCCTGGGGATACATTAAGGTGTGTTCCCCATCGGTAATGGGATCGTGTGTGAAGACTGTATTTATTTATTTATTTATTTATTTATAATCTTACCCCTCTGCAGCTCCCGGCGTGTCTCACGTTGTTTGTTATGTAACGCTTTGGTCACAGACTACTTGCTGCAGTGGTCTGGAAGACAGATGCAGCATTTTGCATGACTGGGATGAAAACTGACCAGATTTTGTTTTTAATGCTTGGAGTTTCGTGTTTTAAAAAGACATTCAAGCGTCTACGCGTGGACACAACTGCCCTGTTGCGAGTGGACATGCCCCCTCTGATTGCTTCACCCTTTTGTTGTGACATATCAGTCGAAATGACGTCATGTTGTATGTTTGTTCATCGTTTTTATCTTTGCTTTCAGTTCAAAAGGATTCTGAACCGGGAGCTGAGCCACCTGTCTGAAATGAGTCGCTCAGGCAACCAAGTGTCAGAGTACATCTCCAACACCTTCCTAGGTGAGCACTGCGGCGCACGCCGGACCTGCATCCGTCTGCTCCGAAACCAGTCCCGTCTGGTCTGGAGAGGGGCTTCCCTCTGGCGACGTCAGGAGAGCTAGAGCATAAATGTGTTTTCTGCATTATTCAGCAGGCAGACGGGAGTGTTCCTGCTCCCTAAGAGGCTAGCAGGGTTTCATAACTCACAGCCGGAGCATGCGTCCGTCCCCCACCTGTCAGGTGGACGTACGTCATGCTCTGGTGTTTTCTGGGGGAAGCAGCTGAGAGGTTCTCGCTGCTGTGTGTATGATGATCAAACACAGACAGTGGTGGGAGGTTCACACACACACACAGAAGGACTGAATCTCCCGCGTCATCTTCACCCGCATGCTGCTGAGGTTCTGCGCAGGGCCTCCGTCCGTTCCACTTTTCTCTGAATTGTTTTTGCAGCGAGGTTCAGTTCACAGAACAGAATATTGTGTGGCGTCACATCTGCTCAGGACTTCTTCACTCCCCGTGACATTTTTGTCACCGTCGTATGAAAATGTTATTTGATGAAACTTCACAGTCAGAGACAAAAAAAAATGAAGCGTTGGTCTAATTAAAGAACCGTAGCAGCTCGCGTGTTGCCACATGTGTGTGAAGGGTCACCTGCATACAAGACGAGCCAAAGCATCCCAGCAGAACTGGAAGCCCCTTTGTAAAATCTTTAGTTTTTTCTTTATTTGTTCTCCACAGACAAGCAGAACGAGCTGGAGCTCCCCTGTCCAGTTCAGAAGTCCAGAGAAAGGAAGAGGAGGCAGGGCCCCCAGCAGCAGCAGCAGGTTGGGATGATGACTCAGATCAGCGGGGTTAAAAAGGTCAACCACAACTCTGGGAGCAGTGGGAATCGCTTCGGAGTCAAGACCGACCAGGAGGAGCAGCTCTCAAAGGTCAGAAACGCTCTGGTTCTGCAGAAAACCCAGAAAGCTTCAGGGTTCCTGGTGCTAACCTGCTCTTTGTGGTTGACAGGACCTAGAGGACATCAATAAATGGGGACTGAATATCTTCCAAGTGGCGGAGCATTCCCACAACCGACCGCTCACCTGCACCATGTACTCCATTTTTCAGGTTAGTCTCCTGAAAGCGGCCCGTGACGGGGTCTGAAAGCGTTCGTCACGTGTCTCGTTTACAGTCGGACAGACACGAGTCGTTTAAACGTGAGATCCTGGGAAACACGATGGGTTAGAGAACTTTATTGTCTCACTCAGGAGCGAGACCTCATGAGGACGTTCAAGATTCCAGCGGACACCTTTGTGACGTTCATGCTGACCCTGGAGGACCACTACCACTCTGACGTGGCCTATCACAACAGCCTGCACGCCGCCGACGTGGCCCAGTCCACACACATCCTGCTGTCCACGCCTGCACTAGATGTAAGACACTGAAAGTTCCTGATGCTTTTATCATCTGTTCATTAAGCTTCGGACTGGGTGATGTGGTAACCAGCGTCGCCCGCGCCCTTCTTCTCAAGCTCTTACGATTTAATGAGGTGACAGAATTACATCACCTCTCGGTGATGCCAGAGAGAATCACGCAAAGAGATTGTTCTGATTTCCAGTAAGCTGCCTCGTTTAGCCGGCCTAATAACACCAAACCTCTCAACGCAGGCGGTCTTCACTGATCTGGAGATCTTGGCAGCCATTTTTGCCGCAGCCATTCACGACGTGGACCACCCAGGAGTGTCCAACCAGTTCCTCATCAATACCAGTAAGTCTCCTCATGTCTCGGTTTGATGCTGCTCTGATTCTGATCAGTATTTGCTGTAGGTCCACTTTCACCTAAAACACTTTGTACTTTGGCTTGTGAACTATTGGAAAACCTGCCAGGGTTTCCACAGGATTGCTGCACTTATTTCCCCCTGTTTAATCCTAAACTGATTACATCCCTTTAGTTCAGTGTTCCTTAGCAGTCGTAGAAGAAAGTTTGTTTAAAATCTGTAAAATAACTGAAGGAGTTCCGCAAGGTTCCATCTTTGGTCCACAGGATTGCTGCACTTATTTCCCCCTGTTTAATCCTAAACTGATTACATCCCTTTATTTAAGTGTTCCATAGCAGTCGTAGAAGAAAGTTTGTTTAAAATCTGTAAAATAACTGAAGGAGTTCCGCAAGGTTCCATCTTTGGTCCACAGGATTGCTGCACTTATTTCCCCCTGTTTAATCCTAAACTGATTACATCCCTTTATTTAAGTGTTCCATAGCAGTCGTAGAAGAAAGTTTGTTAAAAATCTGTAAAATAACTGAAGGAGTTCCGCAAGGTTCCATCTTTGGTCCACAGGATTGCTGCACTTATTTCCCCCTGTTTAATCCTAAACTGATTACATCCCTTTAGTTCAGTGTTCCTTAGCAGTCGTAGAAGAAAGTTTGTTAAAAATCTGTAAAATAACTGAAGGAGTTCCGCAAGGTTCCATCTTTGGTCCACAGGATTGCTGCACTTATTTCCCCCTGTTTAATCCTAAACTGATTACATCCCTTTATTTAAGTGTTCCATAGCAGTCGTAGATGAAAGTTTGTTTAAAATCTGTAAAATAACTGAAGGAGTTCCGCAAGGTTCCATCTTTGGTCCACAGGATTGCTGCACTTATTTCCCCCTGTTTAATCCTAAACTGATTACATCCCCTTAGTTCAGTGCTCCATAACAGTCGTAGATGAAAGTTTGTTAAAAATCTGTAAAATAACTGAAGGAGTTCCGCAAGGTTCCATCTTTGGTCCACAGGATTGCTGCACTTATTTCCCCCTGTTTAATCCTAAACTGATTACATCCCTTTAGTTCAGTGCTCCATAGCAGTCGTAGATGAAAGTTTGTTAAAAATCTGTAAAATAACTGAAGGAGTTCCGCAAGGTTCCATCTTTGGTCCACAGGATTGCTGCACTTATTTCCCCCTGTTTAATCCTAAACTGATTACATCCCTTTATTTAAGTGTTCCATAGCAGTCGTAGATGAAAGTTTGTTTAAAATCTCTAAAATAACTGAAGGAGTTCCGCAAGGTTCCATCTTTGGTCCACACCTTTTTCCTTCTTCCTATGAAGCATAGTCAGGTTCCTTGGTATCAGTGTTTCATGTGAGACGGATGATGTTTTGCTTTATAATGAGTCAAGATCACAAAGATAGGTGGAAGGTTCTGCTAATTTCTGCACTTCATTGTCCATCCTATATATTACACATCCTTAAACAAGCCATCTAGACTCCTCACATATTCAAAAAGAGCTCCCGTTGTACCCAAAGTAAGAAGTTAAATGAACAAATCTCCCAAATAGTCAACGGAAAATGACACATTCACCAAATAGACTAACTTTATTTATGTGCATGTTTTAAAGTCTCCAGAGGCAGCAGCATGGGGTTTTTCTGGGATGTAGGACTGTTTCCATAGTTACCTAACCTGGTTTCTCCCACCCTCCTTTGCATTTAGACTCTGAGCTGGCTCTGATGTACAATGATGAGTCAGTGCTGGAGAACCACCACCTGGCTGTGGGCTTCAAGCTGCTGCAGGAGGAAAACTGCGACATCTTCCAAAACCTAAACAAGAAGCAGAAACAGACCCTGCGAAGGATGGTTATAGACATGGTGAGGACATGAATCTGGATCCATCTGAGCCTGTAGACCAGGTTTAGCATTGCACAGTCCTCTATGTCGCATCACTTTGTTTCATTTTTCACATTTTTTCTATCTTCCAGGTTCTTGCAACTGACATGTCAAAGCACATGAACCTCCTGGCTAATTTAAAAACCATGGTGGAAACCAAGAAGGTGACGAGCTCTGGTGTTCTGCTGCTGGACAGCTACACCGACAGGATGCAGGTAGGAGTCTGCCTAACCCTGACCTGCTGGAAACTCCATCAGACGCGCCAGAAAACTCACTCAGAGCTGCGTTTCTGCAGGTTCTGTGTAACATGGTTCACTGTGCAGACCTGAGTAACCCCACCAAGCCTCTGGACCTGTACCGGCAGTGGACCGACAGGATCATGGACGAGTTCTTCCACCAGGGAGACAGAGAGCGGGAGAAGGGGATGGAGATCAGTCCCATGTGTGACAAACACACCGCTTCAGTAGAGAGAACTCAGGTACACACACATCAGAACATCACTGATCACAAGTGAGGAGTATTCTTTTTTACTGACTTCATCTGTGCTGATCTTTGTAGGTGAGCTTCATAGATTACATCGTCCATCCTCTGTGGGAGACGTGGGCTGACCTGGTCCATCCTGATGCGCAGGACATCCTGGATACTCTCGAATTCAACAGGAACTGGTACCAAAGCATGATCCCTCAGAGCCCCTCCCCTCCCTTCTACACCAGTGATGGAGAGGGTGGTGCCAACGGCGATGGCGAGGGGGGGCCTGTAACCAGTAAATTCAACTTTGACATGACGTTGAGCGACCAGGAGGATCAAGGGGGACTCAGACACAGTGGCGTGATGGACGTGGCTGTCGGATGTGATCTGAAGATCAGAGACCATCCGTCTGGTGGGGACAGGGTGGCCATGACGACATGTGATGCGTCCGCTGCAGAAACATAGTTGAACTGGTGGAAGAGGAGCAGTTTAGCTGAATTTGTTTAATTGCAGTGGAGCCATCCTGCAATGGGCTGCTTGAAGCTGCCTGGTGAAGGCCTGTCTGGATGTGGGGGGACGGCTTGGGAAGCAGGTTGTTTGTTTCTGAGCCCGGCTGGAAGACGCTGCAGGAGTCGTCTTTAAACGAGGGCCCGCGGAGGCGCGGCCGTGTCCGAGTCTGATGGTGTGACTCTACAAACTGGAAACGTGCACTCGAGAACATTTTGTCTTCGTGTAGAAACATCTGCATCATCTCCAGACTGGATAAGGCAACCCAGACCTACTGGTTTAGTGGTTCTTGTTTTCTTGGTTTTTACACTTGTTCAAAACCGAAAGAGACTAAAAGATGTGTGCCTTTTATTTGATTTTTGTACAACCATGTCTTTTGTAAGTATTTTTATAATTTATTTAACACATTCATGTAGCTGTCAAACACATAGAGAGTCTCGCAGTCTTCCTGACCTTCTGGCAATAGCATCAGCACCCTGACTGAGGCGTTCAGTGGATGTTTGGTAAAAATCGGACGACTTCCCAGCACAATTTGCACTTTGAGGCACACTGTAAAGAGGAGCATGGGGGGGGGGAGACATTTAAACCAAATAAGCTTTTATTAAACCAATAATTCATCCTGCAGAAAGTTATATAACTTTGTGATGACATTTATGTCCAAAAACCTCCTCAGACTCTGTAAGAAGACTGCGTTTCGACGACTTTACCGGAAGTGCGATCACACTGATGGTGTTAAAACTCCTAGTTCAGCCTGATCCATCAGAGCTGATCCAGACACCGATTACTGCCGTCTGACTTCACGTAACGATAAAGTTTGAGATCCTTTCGCTTTGTCCGTTGAGCTCTCCCGTAAAGCCTCTTTGTGATTCCCCCTCCTTCATCACACCTGTTGTGGTTAAGCAGCATGCCATTCTTCTGAACAGGCTCTCAGTCGTGACTCAGCCTGAGCTGTGGACGACCGGGGCTGAGTGGAACAAAGAAACGCGTTCGTGGTGGAACATCTGTAGTTTTTAATCGCAGCACCTTGAATATCTCCACAGACCTGCAGCTGGTTGCAGATCTGCTCAACCCTTCCTGATAGGTACCCCGAGGTGTGTGTGTGTGTGTGTGTGTGCGTGCGTGCGTGTGTGTGTGTGTGTGTGTGGTCACAGAACCACACAATCCCATTGCACCAAGCTGTGTTGTGGCGACACTACCAGTGTATTTATTACCTTGTATAGAATCCTGATTGCTAATATTCTCTGTATATTGGTTATTTATGAGCACTGCCACACTCGTCTGGTGGTTGTATTTACTAAAGGTATTTTGCTATGAGATGTTGGGTTGTTAGCTTTGGCGTTGCCGTCGGAGACGTTTGTACACCTGACCTACGAGGTGCCGCGGCGGGTTTTCTAGAAGCTGGAGGTGGCGGCTGCAGCCTGTCGTGTACGGTGACAGGTAATTGTACAGCTGTAGGGGTATTTGCTGAAATATTTAGCATTGTTTCAAATGTATCTTTTTCAGTGTTTTCCTCACAGTACATTGTTACAATCGTGTATGTTGTGTTCAACAAATGTTTTCTATCTGGTTATTAAAATGGGCATGTGTAAGAGAATCCCGTCTGCCTCTTACTGAGTCACACAAAGGATGTAGAAATGTAAATGGCCTGTATTTGGTAAAGCACCTAGAGCAGGGGTGTCAAACTCAGTTTTGCTCAGGGGCCACATTGAGGAAAATCTAGTCCCAAGTGGGCCAGGCCCGTAAAATTAAATTAGGTATAAATTAAAAACTGCTTCAGATTGTTTTCTTTGTTTTAATACGATCAACATAAAACAAAGCTGGAGCCTGAGGACAGTGTATCCAAAATAGTTTAAGCACAACATCACTATTAATAATAAAACACCTGAAGTGTATTTGAAAATGTGAAATACAAAACAAAAAGCCCAGACTATTCCTCAGTAATTCAAATAACTGATTCACAGATCACATGGCTATATCAGTTTCATGCATGTCTTTGACTCCTGATACCTGACATCTCTCAGCTTTCACCAGCAGTTGAATTGAAAAATGAAAGCTTATTTTCAGACTTTACATTGTAAAGTCTGAAAATAAGCTTTACACAATCATCTCGCGGGCCGGATTTAAACTGTGTGCGGGCCTGACCTGGCCCGCGGTCCGCATATTTGACACCCCTGACCTAGAGTCCTAGAACCCCCCGAGGGCCGGGCTTCGGGCCAACGACTGTGTAATTACCACGGACACGGGTCGGGCCGGGCGCCTTTATTTTTAATCTAATTCATAAAAAAAACGGAAACACTTGAACGCAGCAGCACCTGCCTGCTTCCAGGGGCGTGCCCAGGGAGTGGCCTGGGGTAGCACATGCCACCCTTGGAATCTGATTGGCCACCCCAGGTGCCACCACACTAATTTACCTGTAAATAGGCTTTTCATTGTCCACAAAAGGCTTGGGGGTAAAACAAATAAAGCATAACCATTGGTGCCACCCATGCACAAAGTTGTGCCTCACCTGGGCCACCCCATTTTAAAAGATCTGGACACGCCCCTGCCTGCTTCTCACACACCGTTAGCTCAGTTAAGGTCTGTGTGGTTTATAAACGCGCCTATATAAACGAATTCTCAAACTGCTGATTGAAACATGTGCCCCTATTCTAATACGCCATTTTATGTCCACTTTGATGTCAGAAACCATTCGTTTATTCTCGTGAAAACGGCAGCATTCTGTTTTTCTGTGAATAAATTCGCTCTGCAGTTAAAAAATACAGCATTCATTGCTGGGTTTTTTCTAACTGGAGAGCGCATTTTCAGAGCGGCAGATTAAATTTACAAGCGCTTTATTAACTGGGTACATTTATTTAATCTGCCGCTCTGAAAATGCGCTCATTAGAATGATGCTTTTTTTTCTAATTGCACAAGAGCGCATTTTCAGAGCAGATTAAATTTACAAACGCATCCAATTAATATAGTGTTGGTAAATTTCATCTGCTGCTCGAAAAATACGCTCTGTTAGAAAAAAAAAGCTGCATTGATGCTGTTTTTCTTTCTTTCTTTTTTTTTTACTGCAGAACGCTTCCCACAGATAATCAGAATGCTGAGCATCCTATCACGCTAAAACATTATGAAAGGTTAAAAAAAAAGTCGGGCTCGGGTCGGGCCAGAGAATCCTGAAAACCTTTTCTGGCCGGGCCGGGCTGGGCCGGACACGGGCTCAGATTTTAGGCCCGTGCAGGGCTCTAATTCACACCCTGGTGGGGATGAGCTATGATGTAGCCACAGCTGCCCTGGGGCACACTGACGGAGGCGAGGCTGCCGAACTCCGGCGCCACCGTTGCCTCCGACCACCATCAGCAGGCAAGCTGTGTTAAGTGCCTTGCCCAAGGTCACAACAGCAGCATTCTGTGGTGGTTTTGACCCTAAAACCCAATGATTACTGGACAACCTGCTACATCTACTGCTGAACAGTTGCCGTATTGTTTAAACTCTTAAATACTCGTCATCCATGAATAAACTGAACAGAAAGCTATGTCTGATCAGGACCTGGTGTGGGAACTAGGTATGAGCCGGATACTAGTTTCAGAGGAGTATCCGGTACAGATAATGCATTTTTGACGAGTAAGAGCGTGAAACGAGTAAAACTCGTAAATATCTGTAATCGTGCTGAAGGAAAATCCTCATTGGGTAACTGACTGTCTTCACACTCTGTGATTGGCCAGTCAAATACAGTGCCTCTCCCAACACACAAAATTGCAGCCGGGAGCTCACAGCTCAGTCCACGTCCGGTCCATCCACGCACACACACACACACACACACACACACACACACACACACACACACACACACACACACACAGTAACGGATCTCTGTGCTTGCTTCACTGTTCACGTTTCTTCAGTACTCCCTTCTTCAGTTTGCTTCTTTTTAAAGTTACTTTAAAGTTATTTAAAGTTACTTTTTTCGTAACGTACGTGGTGCATTTGACAAGACAGAGCTGAAAACGGCTCGTGCTGCGTCAGTCACTGCCTCCGCTCCGGTCTGTTTTTTTTTCCTCTCTCTCTCTCTCTCTCTCTCTCTCTCTCTCTCTCTCTCTCTCTCTCTCTCTCTCTCTCTCTCTCTCTCTCTCTCTCCTCTTCCTCAGGATCCACTCCCTCTTTCCTATTCACTCTCTCTCTTTCTTTACATTTTCTAATCACAATTGTCTATTTTTGCTCAGTTTAAATATATTTTAATCATTTTCTAAATTATTTTTTCTATTTTACATGTTTTGTTTTTGTGAAGCGCCCCGTGATTTTTATCTTGAGAGGCGCTATAGAAAAGATATTTTCTTCTCTCTCTCTCTTAATTCATGCACTTAAATATTAATGTTCTGATTTTATTGAAACACTTGTTCTGTAATAGTTCCTTTACTATTGTGGTCAAAAACATTTAATCTCAATTCTGAGGCTGCTCTGTAAATAGTTTTCAAATAAACAATACACATAGCAACTTCTGATCAGACTTAAAATAACGTATTGATGTAAACCACACCCACTTCCGGGTTAAGCCACGCCCACTCCGAGTACAGATACAGATAATTTAGATGGTTGAACAGATACAGATGGTGGTGTACTCGCTCATCTGTAGTGGGAACGCTCTGATCAGAACACTGAGGAACTGGAGAACCTGTCGGCTTGCTCAGGTTTTGGGATCTCAGCGTAATCCTACAGGCCCAATTATTTCAACCCTCGTTTCAACCCTTCAGTCTTATTGACGGCTGTTAAAAGACTTTGTTTCATAGTTTTTGTGTTTTTTCTGCTCTGTGACTGAACTCTGTTTATGGGCCGTTGTCGCGTTGCGGGTGTGGAGATGATGGACCATGTGTGGTGGAGCAGATCAGGAGGTAAAGATGCAGGCTTCAGATAAAGTAAAATGGTTTTAATGGTGGGACAGGAACGAACAGCACAAGACAACGATGACAAACAACCACAATGATCTGACAAAGACTGATACAAGGAGGGAGGTATAAACACACAGGGCAAATGAGGAACACATGGGCAGGTAAACAAGGGGCAGGTGAAAACAATAAGGACTAATCAAGGGCAGGAGAGAGACACAGTCAGGGAGGCAGGGGAAGAGTGTGACAGCCGTGGCGAGACTCTATATTCATACATGCAGCACAGGCCAACAGTTTGGACACACCTTCTCATTCAGTGTGTTGTCTTTATTTTCATGACCACTTCCATTGGTAGATTCTCACTGAAGGCATCAAAACTATGAATGAACACATGTGGATTTGTGTACTTAACCAAAAAAGGGGAAATAACTGAAAACAAGTTTTATGTTCTATTTTCTTCAAAATAAGCACCCTTTGGTCTGATCACTGCTTTGCACACTCGACATTCTCTCGATGAGCTTCAAGACTGGTGGAAAGCCCTTTTCAGGTGACTACCTCTTGAAGCTCATGGGTCCCACACCTTTAAATAAAACTAAAATGTCAGACTTGACAGAGGTAAAGATGTTTTTAAATCTAAATTCATTACATGCCCTTGTTTTGATTTGAAAATCATTTGTTTTCCAGTTTAACTCTTAATTTAGTTAATTAATCTATTCTTTATTTAACCAGGAAGGTCCCGTTGAGATTACAAACCTCATTTTCAAGGGAGTCCTGGTCAAGAAGCAGCAAAAGTTACAGTTACAAATGTTTCAGTTACACAGACACGTTATGTACAAAGTTACAGGAGGCAGTTACAACACAGGGAATGTGTCCGAAGGGCTCTCAGTCTGGTTTTAAACGTATTCAAGCAGATAAACTTGGTTAATTTCCAGTTTCCTGCAGCCTGTTCCATGCAGAAGGAGCGGAGTGAACGAAAGCCCTTTTGTCCAGTTTGGTGCGAGCAAACGGAAAGTACAAAGTAACAATTGATCATTTGATTGTAATAAGTTACACTTCTCCATGAGATTAAGTTACAGATTTAGGCGGGTAGTGATCCAAGCATGGCTTCATAAATGAAGGTGTGCCAATGTCCCAACCTCCTGGTGGACGAAGAAGGCCGTCCCACTGGAGAATACAATTCACCATGATGGGTCAGTGGTCTGCAGTTGGTCATAAACCTCAGCGAGGCGTCAGTAAACCACATCAATCTTACCAAGACACTGTGCTGAGGCGTTCTCCATAATCCAGAATAACCTGAACTGTTGCAGCAACTAGTCAGAATTTATTTTTTTTGCCTCAAAGCAGGTTTTCTGGTTGTGATGCACACATTTGTTTTTGTTGTTCTGGTTTTTACTAAGTGATCGTCATTCACTTAATGATTTAATTAGCTTCCTGTCTGCTCTTCTGTATTTTTACCCAACGTGTGTCATGACTCGAGGTAAGTGCCTGACCCAAGACATGCAGAATCAGAACTCGTCGGGCAGATTGAGTAAAAGAAAAGTTCTTTATTAACAAACGGGAACAAAAATAGCTCAGGGAAGTCCTGTGGGAGTGAGCGGTGCAGCTCGAGTCCACTTAGCGCTCGGGATGAATGAGGGAGGCGGGGGAGGCGGGGGAACCGAGGTGAGTGCTGGGCAGAGGGCAGCGCTGGACTGACCATAGGGCATAGCGGGCAACTGCCCGCTGG